CTACTACTACTACTACTGCCGCCGCCACCACCACCGCTACCAGCAATACCACCAGGACTAACAATCGTAAGCACGAGTACTGGCCCTAGCACTAGTATTCGTGCTAGCACATGCATTAGTTCGAGTACGAGCGCTAGTAGAATTTGTTGTATGTTTGTAGCAGTAGTCGTCCCAGTCGTAGTCGTAGTGGTGGACGTCGTCGCAGCTCTGGTAGTAGTAGCAGCAGTAGCAGCGCAAGAGCAGTAGTAGTAGTCGTCGTCGTAGCAGTAGCGGCAGCAGCAGGTGTAGCAGTTCAAATAAAAGCAGCCGACAAAGCCAAAATAGATCTCAATGCTTCTGTTCATCTCATAGCAATACTACCCTAAATTTTAAAGCCTAAACCCTAAATCCAGAACCATGGCAACAGTAGCAATGTCCGAGCTAGAGCAGCTTGCCCTGTCCTGCTTGTGATGAGCATCCGTGGTTAAGGCTTAAGGTCAAGGCTAAGGAAACTACACAGTTTGTCACGGTGGCAAGGTTCAGGAGAATGCATCGGGGCAATGGATGTAGTCTGTAGTAGCAGAAGTCTGTAGCAGCCCTCGTAATGTTGCAGTTGGCAGTTCTATGTGACACCATCCAAAACCACCAGACAGCTAACTACATGTGCCCCGAATAGTTAAGTCTTCCAAAACCTGTGTTCTCATTGTTTGTCGAGTCACTCACGGCGTCAAGCAACGTTGAGTGACGACGTGTACATGGTCACGGCATGCCGAAATGCTGGTGCGGTCGTCAAAGTCGTTGCTGCACTGAGCAGTCGCGATAGATCACGGTTCGTGTTCGAGTGCAAACACGATGGCTTAGAAGTCCAGGGTGAAGGGAAGGGGTTCGCGACCCATCTCCACGTTCAAGAATGAGATGTTAGACCAGATTCGCCCTATCACGGCTGAAGGGTGCTTTGCAAAGAACCACTCCCGTACGTAGCTGGCCGGCCGTTGAAACCACAGTGTGCTATTCCTGTAGCACTGGAACTCGTCCTGTGGAAGCCTGACCTGGTAGGCTGGCTCAATCACTTTTGCAATCGACTGGTGCACGAATGCAGCATCGTGCTCTGTCAGCCGGAGTAAGTCGTAGCCGAAAGGCCGAAACTTGTGCAAGGCATAGCTCAAGGAGCAACCGGCTGTCGGAGTGAACCGGTCGGCGTGGTAGAACCTGTCCCAGTCGGGGGAATGGCTGGCATGCCAGTGCAGCGAGAAGCGGAAGGGGGGAGGAATGTGGGCCACGACCTCTATCTGGAGTATCTTCGGCCTCACAATCTGCAGCAGCTCCTCGATGATAAGGCAGTCCGCACCATCAACGTCCACGACTAGGACATCAAGTGCCCAAGGTTTCGGAGAGTGGCCAAAGATCAGCGTCAAGTGGGGCATCATCTGCTCTGCAGCCACAGTAGGATCCAGTGTCAGCAGCACCTTACAGAATTGGCCTAGGACTGAAGGAACCCTGGGCCGCAACCCAAAATACCTGGAAACCTGTTGAGAGCGTCTCGAACCATGCGAAACGGACCCTGGTAGAACCCTCATCGAAGCCTTACAGAATAGAACCCTGATGGAACCCTGATAGCAACTTTTTAGAGATCCTCTCCGAGATCCTGTATAGAGCCCTGAAATTAAAGATTCCCTAAGATCCCTGTAAAGGGTCCTTGTAGAACCCTCGACCCTCGGGCCTAAACCAGAAACGCCAAACCCTAAACCCAGACCTTGAACCCCAAACTCCACACCCCAAACCCTAAACCCTAGAGTACCGCTATAGATTCCCTATGAGGGAGCACCGGCAGGACCCTGCCCGGGACGGCACTCATCACTTCCATGCACCGATCCAGCCGATCGCGGCTCGACTCAACAGCGAGGCCCACAAAGCCTCTTGGCGGGGGTTCGGGCTTGGTGTTTAGTGCTTTGGGGTGTCAGGGCTTAGGGTTTACAGTAGTGTTTTGGGTGTTTAAGCTTTAGGGTTGAAGGATTTCGTTAGGCTTCCAAACAGCTTAACTACAAGAGAGGTTCATACTCACTTGAATAAGGCAGGTCGCCACAAGCCCCCGATACATTGTGCAAGATTCTGCATTTTTGTAGGGTTCTTACAAGGGCTCAAGCAGGGCTTTTTTTGTGCAGGGGAGTTCAAAACGTTCAAAGGTTTGGAGGGGGTTGCGGCTTTTGAACCCTTCTCTACAGGAAGCCGGCGAGGTTGCAGGGCAGGAAGCATTGCAGGAATGACAATCGGGCCAAAGCTGATGATGATCATCATCATCGTGATGATGATGATGATGATGATGATGATGACGGTGTGGTGGTGATGGTGATGATGACATATCCACGACAACGGTGACAGCAAACACCAAATGGGCTTTTCAAACACAAAACGAGCAGAAACAACCGAAACAACGCAGCGACGATAACAGCGTGACCACCATGAAGGAAAGGAATGCATGTAATGAGGAGAACGATAGCAGCAGCCACATCGGCTGTAAACAAGCAAGGTGTTGGTATGTGTTGGTGAGGAGTCGTAACGAAGCCTTGATGTTACTGATCAGCACTGGTACTGGAAGATGTTGCGATGCGTTGCGATGCGGTATGGTGTGACTCTGATGTCGGTAGTGTGATAGTGACTTCATGTTGCATCGTGTAATACGATGTGATGTGGCGTGGTGCGATGACATGATCTGATGCTACATGTATGCTGGATTCTGGTGGATGTCAAGTGATATGACGTGATACGA